GAGGACCAATCAGAGGGAGACACGTTGCTATAGGCAACCAATCAGAGGGAGACACGTTGCTATAGGTGACCAATCAGAGGGAGACACATTGCTCTAGGTGACCAATGGCTGAAAGGCTGGGGTACTATGCACGTGGCTCTAGGAGTTAGTTCAGGCAGGCGCTGCTACTTCCTGGTGTGCCAAGGAAGCATGTCATGGTGGAGTGTGCTCTCATCATTGCATCAGCCGCAGCGCTGAGACATACTTCCCGAGCTCTACTACACCCCTGCAGGCCCGGGTCCTCCCAACTGTCCTCCCCTGCAGGACTGGGTCCCCCAAACTGCCTTTCCCTGCAGGCCTGGGTCCCCCAAACTGCCTTTCCCCGCAGGCCTGGGTCCCCCGAACTGCCTTTCCCTGCAGGCCTGGGTCCCCCCAACTGCCCTCCCCTGCAGGCCTGGGTCCCCCCAACTGCCCTTCACTGCAGGCCTGGGTCCCCCCAACAGTCCTCCCCTGCAGGCCTGGGTCCCCCCAACTGTCCTCCCCTGCAGGCCTGGGTCTCCCCAACTGCCCTCCCCTGCAGGCCTGGGTCTCCCCAACTGCCCTCCCCTGCAGTCCTGGGTCCCCCCAACTGCCCTCCCCTGCAGGCCTCGGTTCCCCCAACTGTCCTCCCCTGCAGGCCTGGGTCTCCCCAACTACTGTCCCCTGCAGGCCTCAGTTCCCCCAACTGTCCTCCCCTGCAGGCCTGGGTCCCCCCAACTGTCCTCCCTGCAGGCCTGATTTCCCACAACTGCCCTCCCCTGCTGGCCATCTTGTGTGTTGGAGTGATGGTCAGTTTGCATATTACCTCTCCATTATATAGGATATGCATGTAAGTTCTTTGGTTAATCTCTTCCCCCTCCCCCTAACCCCCACGCCTATGAGATTCACCAGTCTGTTTCATGTTTCCAAGCCGCTGGTCCTATTTTATTCATAATTATATTGTGTTTATTAGATTCCACATATAAGTGAGATCATGTGATATTTGTCTTTCTCTGGCTGGCTTATTTCGATAGCAGAATTGTGGGGAAGCACAGGACTTGGTTGGAATGTTTGTAAGGAGGATTCTCTGAAAGGTCGGGGAA